TAAACATATCACATAAAATAAGTCATAAGATTGCCTTATCTGAAGTGAACACTCCTTACTTTCATATAAACCTGTTTAATGCAGTAGTTTTTACACCTACATCTCCGAAAATAATTGCCACTAATAATCACATTATTAATATTAGGACTAATAATTTGTAATACAAATAATATGACGACTAGAACATTTAATTTATGTTGGTATATATTATCTATATTGTTGCAAAAAAATGGCACCACACGTATAACTCAAATAAATAAATTATTAATGTGTACCTGGATCCTAATGTCGGTTATATTAGGCGCATGCTATTCAGGATCTATTTATGCATTAATTCGTGTTCCCATTGAACACAGAATCGAAACATTAGACCAATTGATTGCAAATGAAATGAATGGTAATATTAAAATAGTTGTTGGTAATGGATCCATTGAACAATACGTGATAGTAAGTTAAATAAAATAAAATTTTATTTATAGAAAATTTTGATTATAACAATTTACAGAATACTGTACCAAACTTCCATTATTTCTAAAGTATTTTTATTCTGTTTATAATAGATTGTAATCCTAAGTATTTTTAATTGTTGATGTTGATTTGACCTACAATACCTATAATGTTAAAATCTTAACCAATCTATAGAGGTTCCGACCATCATATCATTGCATGTGATATATGGTTGGAATCAGCTCAAGGTGTAGATTGAGAAATTATCTTCTTTGACCATGGAGGAATATTAGCTGATCCAGATTAAGAAGTGAATTTCTTAACCTACTCACTGAGCTGATTCCAACCATATATCACATGCAATGATTCGATGGTCGGAACCATTTATATTTTAATATTTTAGGTATTGTAGGTAAAATCATAGATAAACATTTTTAATTCAATCATTTTTAACAGTTATTTTTTAAAAAAAATTACACTACTAGAATTATTAAAATAATTTTATAAAATAAATTACTAGTAAGTGATTTGAACTTAACACAATGCTCTACTAATAATATATGTTTTACAATCACATAGGATAAAATTAACGAACGGTATGGATATAGATTTATAAATTACCATGGTGTTGACGAGAAATCATTATTTGATTATTTAAAACGTACTGATTATAAATACTCTGTAATTGGTGTAAGCGACTACCTTATTTATAACATATTTAAGCACAAAATAAGTGGACATTATGTAGCAAATAATGTGGATGATGCAAAATTAACATGGAGCCTTGAAGCTATGGGATTAGTTAAAAATTCACCCTACTTGAATTATTTTAACAAAATGTATGCTATATTTAATTAACTACTGTAAATTTAACATTTTATTATATATCAGCTTATCCCGGATACGCGAGGCAAACCTTATGGAATACTGGATGAGAAATTTATATTTAAAAATTAATATGGTCCAGGTTCATCAAGATAATATTTATGTTTATTTTGCTTTATTGTACAAGAATTTAAAAAGTATTTTAAATATCTGGATATATGGAGGCATTATTATGTCTTTAGTTTTAATTATGGAAATATTATTTTGTGCATCATATAAATATGCTAATTTTTAATTATTTTGTTATAACCAAAATTGATAATTAATGTATAAAATAATATAAAGGATTTTGTGATTTATGTATGCACATATTGTATAGGTTTTACTAACATGTTTCTAAGATTATTTGTTTTAAATTTAATTGTCCAAATAAATAAAATTGATTTATAAAAATCTATCTGAGAATTTTACAAAGTTATCAATGTAACATAATAAATAATTTGAAGTAATTCATAATTGTAAAGTGTCTGAAATAATTAAATATAAAATCTATGGAGATTTTATATAGTTCACCATACTTATATAGTATTATCAAAATGTAGGTAGGTGTAAATTTTGTTGAATATTGTAACTTATTATTATTATTTTTGTATTAGTTTATCTCGATTAAGTGAGGCAAACCTTATAGATAACTGGTCGAGAAAATATTTGAAAAGTAACATGATACTTTTTAATCAACATACGAATAATTATTATTTTGCATTGTCCTATAAATATTTAAAATTAATTTTTAATATTTGGATTAATAGAGCGATTGTTACGTTCATTATATTTATTATTAAAATTTTGTACTGGTTAATTTTTCATTATGGCAATTGTTAATTATTGTTATATTTAAAGCAAAATAAAAATAATAAAATTTATTGTATAATTAATTATATAATAATATATATATTTCCTCACTATAAATATGTTTAAAAACTTACAATAGTTTATTTATTATATTAATTGTAATATTGTGTACTGAAAACATTTTTCATATGATAGATAATTTAAATAATTTTGCATAAATAAACTTATGTCGCTTACAAAATGCAAATCATTATAATAAAAGGAAACGTATATTAAGTTAAAAGTTTTCATTTATTTCTTGGAAACTAGTGAAACAATTATATTGAATTTAATATTACTGTCACCAGAATATATTCAATTTAAATCAACGATTAATTTAGAATTAAATCTACAAATTACAATTGAAACAAATATATGACGATTTCAAACAACAATATAAAAGTCTTATAGAAACCTCAAAATTAAACTCATGGAATGCTTTCATTGTTGAGATCACCCGGGACAATCCATGGGGTATTGTTTATAATTTAGCGGCGAATAAAATTACCCAGCACATTCCTTGTGAGATATGCGATTCATCTGGCAATTTAATTACGGATCACATAGAGATTTCTAAAAATTTGCTAGATAATTTATTTCCGTTTGACAACCCATTAAATGACACACAATATCAACATAATTTACGCAAGAAATCTGCAAATTGTGAGACAAATACAAATGATATTTTATTTAGTGTACCAGAAGTTACCACCATAATTAATCAACAAAATCCTAAGAAATCACCAGGTTCTGATGGCATTACTTCAGATATCATTAGTTTTATTCATAATATTGACGACACATTTTTAACATTATTATATAACAAATGTCTGATATCAATATTTCCTATCAAATGGAGAAGTGTTGTAAAGATTATACCCAAACCAAATAAGTCCGATTATAGAGTAGCCAACAGCTACCGTCCTATTAGTTTAGTTTCGGTTTTTGGGAAAATTTTTGAAAAGCTTTTAATAAATCGTATATCACATCATTTGACCCAGACAATTCATATGAGCCCCAAGTAGTTTGGTTTCACTCAACAAAGGTCCACAATTGATGAACTAATTTCATTGAAAAATTTTATAATAAGCTCATATAAACGCAAAGGATTTGCATTAATAATATCACTCGATTTTAAAGTTGCATTTGATCACGCCTGGTGGCCTAAAATTATTACTTCGTTATATAATTATAATTGCCCTAATAATTTGCTACAGTTGTCAAAAGATTACTTCAATAATCTGTTTTCTACAATTTGGTATCTGAATAGAGAATACGAAAAGAAAATGACATTAGGCTGTCCACAGGGTTCCGCATGTGGACCATTATACTGGAATGTACAATTTAACGATATATTTGACACAATTAAATGTTTGCCAAACGTTGAGATCGACACATTTGCTGATGACATAATTATCAAAATTTATGCCGATTCTACCCATACAATTGAATTACTAGCAAATAAAACGCTTAAATTAATAAGTAATTTGGTTAATAATAAGTTAATTTTCAATGTGCAAAAAACGAGTTGTGTACTTTTCACTAATAATCGTAAATATTATAAACCAGACATCATATTTAATAACGAACACTTAAAATTATCTAATCAATTTAAACACCTTGGTGTTATATTGGACTCAAAATTATTGTGGAATTCACATATTAATTATATTACAACAAATTGTCAGAAATTAATAAACAATTTATTACGATTTGGTATTAATTCCAAAGCTATGGAAATTATTTATAAAGGTGCAATTTTACCCGTTATAAGTTATGGTGTCCAGGTTTGGGGTGAAGCCATTAATCGTAAGTTTATTGTCAAAAAATTAGCAAGTTTACAACGCCAATATGCAATACGTATGATACGAGGCTATCGGACAATATCAATGGAAGCGGCAAACATACTGGCTAATTTTTTGCCTATTGACTTGCATTTAAAGTCTATTATGTTGGATTATCATATTATGAAAAATATGGATACCTATTTATTACATCTTTTTATTTCAAATAATAATATTGATTTACAAGATATTCAACGGCCTGTCTTAGTAAAATATCTACATCATCCGGCTAAACGTAGACCAATTGCAGTATTTAATGAAAATATCAGCGATGCAACTGTGGTCGATATTTATTATATTAATTATAAAAGTGTAACTAATAATATTGGTGTGTCATTCCTGATTTATCAAAGTCAACTTAAATGTGTGAAATGCAATTTAGGTTAAGTGATAATTGTTCATTATTTCAATCAACTTTATTTGCAATACTACAGTCTTTAGAGTATAGTGTTAATCACATTAGTTGTTCAAATATAATTATACATATATTTGATAATTTTGTCATGAATTCATTGCTTAATTATAATTCAACGTCACACCTAATTTACTCAATTTATAGACAATATTATATTTTATTAGAAAATTCCGTTACTGTTTATATTAAATCTGCTGATAATGTGTGAAAAGATATTATATGCCAAAATTATTGCTATTACCGGTGCCAATTTGGATACGGTGAATTATAATTTAATGTCAAAAAGTACGGTTAAACGTAGGATTTATGAATACGTGTGAAATTTGGAAAAAGGTGGCAATCTACTCAAAAGGGACCACAAACTAAATTATATTTTCCTCATGTTCAAGATAGATTAAAAGTTAAACGCATATTTAACCATGATTTTTATTTATGCCAGGCTCTTACTAACCATGGTAATAATAATTATTACTTAAATCGTTTTCATCTAAAAGATACCCAGACTTGTGATATTTTATAAGCAATATTATATTTTATTAGAAAATTCCGTTACTGTTTATATTAAATCTGCTGATAATATGTGCGAAGAGATTCTATATGCCAAAATTATTGCTATTATCGGTGCCAATTTGGATACAGTTAATTATAATTTAATGTCAAAAAGTACGGTTAAACGTAGGATTTATGAATACATGTGTGAAATTTGGGAGAATAGGTGGCAATCTACTCAAAAAGGACCACAAACTAAATTATATTTTCCTCATGTTCAAGATAGATTAAAAGTTAAACGCATATTTAACCATGATTTTTATTTATGTCAGGCTCTTACTAACCATGGTAATAATAATTATTACTTAAATCGTTTCCATCTAAAAGCTTCGCAGACATGTGATAAATGCGGATACGATTATGACGATACAAATCATAGGATTTTTGATTGCAGTGAATATGTATCACAACGCGAGGACTTACGGGTGGCCGTTATCAATGCGAATCTCAATTGGCCCCCACCTCTCAGTGCTTTTATGTCATCTAAATTGCTTTCGTATTTTATAACTTTTTGTAAAATTATATATTCTTAGTTCATTGTTTTCAATTTTAATTATAGTTTATTATTGTTTTTATTAATTTGTAATAGAGAGCTTCTCTTATGATACTTTTGTGGTATAAGGGTGGCGAATTTATTTGATTAATAAAGATCCATTTTATTCCATTTAAAAAAAATGTAATCACAAACAAATTAGAAATTGTTTTTCTATGTTTTTAAATACATTATTAATTATTTCATGTAAATAGAGCCATAATTTTAAACTACCGGTGTTTATATTAATAATTAAAAAGTCGTAATACGATCTAGATACTATCTAGATTTTTGTAAGAATTATTTGTATAAATGTACTCGAGTAAATATGAATTAAACCTTCAAGACTAGCTTATGTATGAAACTAACTTGTAAGTAATGTATTGGTTTTCACATTCAATATACAATTTGCAAAGCAGTTTAGTTATTAGTTCACAGTGCCTGAACCTTTTCTTATCCGTACATGAACCTTACATGGAAAGGGTCATTCACTCAGTATATAGCCAATAATTAATGTGGACTATTTATTTGTGAACATAGACTCCTCCCCACTATAGATTTGTGGACAGCCCCTGCCATGTAGCGTCCATGTACGGATAAGAAAAGGTTCAGGCACTATGTATTAGTTGTTTGAGTTAATGCTAGCAATGTGAAAGCCAATACATTATTTTGTTTTATACATAAGCTAGTCTTTGAAGTTTTTATTCATTTAATTTATTTTGCGCTAATCTAAAGTATTAAGTATGATACTAACTGTTAAGTGTGTCATTGAGTTTATGGGAATAAAATCCAAATCTCCAGGTTAATTATTATATTGAGAATTGCTATGCATATTGAGTACTATAATATCCTTTTAATATAAACTATATAAATAGAAATTATACCCTAGTTACAACATAAACGAACAATTATGTACAAAGTTATATTGATTGTGATTGCTTGCTGCATTAATTATTACGATGCAGCTAGCACAAAATGTAGTGCTAATGAATTGCATTTAAATAAATTTCTAACAAGCACACTCGATATAAATGATTTACCACATGATCCATGTGTATTGAAAATACAGTCCGATGAAGAAAAATGTCTACTAAGCAAGGTCCCCGATTATGACCCGGATAATACTAATCCTAAGTATTACTGTTGTATAACATGGATAGCTAGTGATTGTTTTGAATCCGTTGGAAAGGTAATTATAATATTGTTAGTCACATGTTACATATTTAAAAATAAATTTATTTAATAGACCAAATGTACAGCGAGTGAATATAGTGCCATGGAAAAGCAACTGGGTGATATGAAAAAGGTGTATATGGATGATAAATGCAAACAATATCCCTATAAATCTGCAATTACTAAATGCGATAAATAAAGTGAAAATAAACAAATAAAAATTATCATTATAATTTTAATATTATTCTGTTTATGTCTATTAAAACTTTATTTAATACAAAATGCGTAATAAATTATATTGAAATCAAAAATAAAATATAATTTCATACCTTAATCCTATAAACAATAAGTTAAATTGTTTTACTGAACAAATTTTAACAAATAATGAAATCCTATTTAATAATAATACCGGTGTTTATAACTTATAAGTTATAAGACAATAGACTGTTTGATAAAACACTTAAACATTATTCGCTATTCAGGTATTACTCATAAAAAAGTTTATCACAAAAACAAATCAACACATTTATAAAGTAACATTCCTGTTGCCACTTAATTAATTGTACTATTTATTTAAAAATACTACTAATAATAATTAAATAGCTATAGCTATCTCGATAGTTAATTAAAAGATATTAAATTAAAAAATATTTATTACTAGTGCCTCAATATTAAATTTCTTAATTAATGATGAATTCATTAGCAATCATAAGTGTATTAATGGTGACAATGTATGGGTGTGTCCGGTGTGATGACCCAAATAATGGCGGGTTTACCGCTGGTATAGAGTGCTCGGCACTCGTGGCCGAAGATGTCACTCAATGTCTTAAGGATAACCTGCCGACTGACTTGGATGCCTCCAAAGTCACTGAATATGGCTGCTGTATGATGTACCACAATCATGCCTGTGCCGTTAAGCACGCAAAAGTAAGTTTTAAATGAACCAGATTCATATTTTTTACCAGGACCATTATGATCAATTTGAGATATTAAACAAATGGTATAATTTTTAACACCATATGAACCGACTTTCACTAATTTATTATTTTGATGTATCAGTAAAAATGTTTTTAAAATATCAGATACAATTTACATTTATATTTAAAATTATTATTTATTTTTTTATAAATGACCAGGCTAAGTGTGGGACAGAGGATTATAAGCTATTTAAGAGTTATGAGGACGAGAAACGGGATAACAGTTTCGAGGAGTGCAAGGATTACCAACAATGCAATCATGGCTACCATTCCCTACCAAACGCTATATTACTATTAATTAGCACTCTATTGGTTGTCATCAACATTTTTAATTGACATTTTATTATGTAATAGCTATTATAAATTTGTATTTTTAAACAATTCAACACGTTCATAATATATTCATAATATTGTAATACTATAATGTAAGTATAAATTATAAAATTACTAGAATATATGAAAAATATACTATTTTAGTAATAAATATTTTTAGATGATAATTAATTTTTGTCATAACCATGATATTCCCTAAAAATAAATAAAACACAGCGGCATTTAATGCAATCATATTTACTGATTATTGTCATGGTTATAATAATCCATTATTTACACAATCAGTATTATTTCACAAAATTTATTAAATAAATAAAACAAACCATATTCACATATTATAGAGCTATTAATTATATTTTATAAATAGTTAGTTATATTTCATATTAATAAATTGTAACCTATTATAAGAAAACTTGTTATAATACAACTTTAATAAATAACTTTTACAATAAGAATTAAACTGAAATAAATATAAGAAATATATTGTGATATATAAGGAGCATCCAGGTTTATTAGATGTAGTAAATTATATTTATCTCAAAATACATATTTTTGACATATTTCAGGAAAACAATTTCTTCAATTTTCGTTTATATTTAACAATAAAAATATATTTAAAGTATAATAATAGTCACAAAGAGTGCTAAACAGGACGTCAATGAATTTAAATCTAAATCACAATAATATGTAAACATTTTAAAAACTATTGAGCTAATTATGAATAAACTTACAATCATAACTTTATTTATAATTGCATCGTTTGTGTGTATTGTATGTATTAATCCTAATGTTCGTAGTATTTCGGCTCAACATTGTCCCAAGGTAATTGCTGAGCAAGTTAATAATTTTCTTAAGCATAATATGCCAGATAACCTGGATTCAACAAATGTCAATGAATACCATTGTTGCTTTGTGTATCACAATCATCACTGTGTTATAAAATATGCTAGGGTAAGTTTAACAGACGTACAATTATTACAATTACCTATATAAGGCAATAGATTTTTTTATTAATATTTATAATATTTGTGACCAGGCTAAATGTTCAGACGAGGCCTATAAAGAAATTAAGAGCTATGAGGATGAGAGACGGGATAAAGATTATGAATTGTGCAAACATTACCAACAGTGCAATCATAGCTACCAGTCCTTACCAAGCTTTGTATTCATAATGATAAACCTTGTATTAGTTGCAACCAAGATTTTATATTAATATAAATTTTATTTTTTATGCTTAAGTTGCCCATATTTTATCTTATTCAATCTGACATAATTGCAAACATAATTGTCTATAAGTGAAATTAATAAAAACTATAACTTTAATATTTAAATAAATATAATAATGCAATATTAGAAAGACATTTAATAGATTTGTGTTTTGCATATTTAATTAGATCTTTCATATTAATACGTATATGACCTTGGAGATCTGTACTTTCCATAACGTAACTAACACTTAATCTATTCGGTGAATCTAATTTAATTTAATTGATAATATTAAAATTTATATATACTGTATTATATATATTTTTTTCTCAGCTACTATTAATATAAATTTATGATATAAGTTTGTATTAAATCAAAAGTATGTTATTACTAATAATAACTTATTAGTAAGGCTTGGCAAAAAAGTGGTATAGTTTGCGCGTGCATACTATAAATAGTGCTATTTTTACAGTTTATCTGAAAATTTTATTGATATTTAAAGATCATAATTAATTTAGTCTATTACTGCTATGCACGCGCAAACTATACCACTTTTTTTGCCGAGCCTTAGTTATTAGTAAACTTTATATTAAGAGTAAACATAAGTAACTAAATTGACTTTATTAAATACTAATCCATTTAATGCAATATTATAAGCGATTATTCATTAAGTACGTAGACAGAGGTTGTGTATAGGGGTCAACCAAGGCATGTATACACAATATTAAAATACCTTGTGTGATGGAATTAAATAAGGGGTATCGACTTTGTGTGACAGATTAATGAGTATATATTTATTGAATGGCCCATAAAATAATAATTTATATTGATTTGCCTAGATAATTAAAATATTTGTACTCTATATGTGGTTATATAAATAGTGGGCACAATAGGTAGACAAACAATCGCATGATTTTTCATAATTAGTTCAAAGTTTAGACAAAAGTTATTTTCATTGTTTTGTGACATTAAACTTATTGATTAAATAAAGGCGTTAATTTTTGTTAAACTTTATATTTTACTATAAATAGCTTCATATAAATATAATATTTTAAGTTATTTTATTATTAATGAGTTTGTAATTTGCAGTACTATTACAAAAATGAAAATAATTTATTTCTTATTTGTTTTAACTCTTTATTTATTTCAATATAAAACTAATGCCAAAAGTCTTGAAAACCAGTGTTATTTACCAAGTTACCAGGATGATCTTGATAAATGTATAGTAAATGTTATGCCAAATGAAATCATGCATATTGATAAAAACAGCCAGGATAATTGGTGCTGGAAATCATATGCCACATGTCAATGTGCATTGGACATCGCACAGGTAAAATATTTATTAAACCTAATTTACTAGTTAATTTTTAAAAATATCATTTTAATGTTGACAGAAAAATTACCCTGAAGTCAAATTAGAAATCATAAAGAATAACATAAATGAACAAATCACTAAAATTGACACCATTTGTAATAATCAAAATGAACATGACAAATCAAAACTACCAACACTCAAGCTATCTAATAAAATTATATTTTCAATTGGATCAACTAAATCTCCACCTGGTACACCAACCACACTCACACCTCCGTCCACAAAACCTCCCACACCCTCATCATCAACCCCTACAACCGCCACAACACCCTCAACAACTATAACCACCAAAGTCCCAAAAACAACACCTCCACCCACACCAGTCCCTACCACTGGAACGACCATACCCTCAACCACAACTTCTACAGCGCCACCTACATCCACCCCAACCACCAAGACCTCAACGCTGCCGCCAACACCAACCCAAACAAATGTATCAACCATTCAATCAACTACCCCCTCAAAAACGCCAGTACCTACAACGCCATCACCTGCACCGACTACTACTACACCACCCCCTCAACCAACTACTACTCCATCCACTACTACCCGACCCACAAAACAACCCCCACCATTTACTACAACTCCCAATGCGTGTTCGCACGTGTTTTCTAATTTATTTATTATTTCAATTTTAATACTGTTTTCGATAATATCTGCTGGCTATTTATGAATTCATTTGACTATACCTATTTTATAATCTTTTAAAGAATAATATAATTATGTGATTATTTAGCAAACGGGAACTAATTTATTTAAACAATTAATTATTAATTTTTATAATATAAGAGTAATTCGATGTATCAATTAATATTTGTTATACTTTTGTTATTATATTAGTATTAAAAACACTTAATTTCATTACAAAATATTTTTACAATAATAATTACTGTAAGTGATTACATTAATAAAAAAAAGATCTAATAATTTAATGATTATTTTAATATTTATAATAAAATATTTGATAAGATATTTGATAAAATATATCCTTAACTTTTTTATATATCATAATACAAATTATGCATTTCGTGTTTAAAAATTAATAACAATATAATTTTTATTGTTGTAACATTATAATGAAAAACTATAAATATCATGCTACCGATTATTATTTAGAAAGTTTCCTAAAACTACAATAATAATTAAATTGTTTATACAAAATATATTATAATGAAATATTTAATTTTTCTAATATTAATACCCTATTCATATAATTTCAAATTAAATTACACCAATACACTAAATGATGATGATTATACATGCATGCTTGAATTTGATGCAAATGTGCAAGCTTGTTTGAAACAACAAATGCCTGGCGACCTCACCGAACCCGATCAAATTGAATACAAATGCTGCGAATTTTATCTAGGTTATTATTGCGCTCTCGACTACGTCAAGGTAAGTGCTATAAATTACAAAATATTATAAAATAATTAATTACTCTATAATTAGGAGCACTGTTCAGACAATATATACAATGAGTTCAAAACAAATGGTGATCAGGCTATGAAGGAAGAGGAGTACCGGTGCGTTGATCACCAGAGATGCAAAGCAGGTTCACCCCAACCCCCTCCAACAACTGACCAGGCACAGACTACTATGTTTTCTAGTACCACGGTATCACCATGCACTAGTGGCGCTCAAATTTCGATGATTCAAATCTATATATTCTGTGCTATAGTTATTACTTCTCTATTTGCCTAAAATAAAATTCATTATTAATTATTATTTTGTTAAAATTCATGTATAATATATCATTGAGATTATTAACCGTATATTTAAAAAGTAAGATTGCATATAATACATTAATTATATAAATGAATAAATTACAGCTTAAATAAGGTACTGAATAAATATGCAGATATTTTTTGATAATTTAATATTGTACAAATATGGTTTTAATTATCATTTTATATTTTTATGAAAATATTTTGTCTAATATTATTAATTATGCTGTTTTTATAATGTTTAATAAATTAACACGTTTTACATTTTAATCCATAATATTCAAAATTAATTTTGGTTATGTTAATTTTTAATAGTTATTTGATAATAATCTGCGAAGTTCTTATATTAATATTAAAATATAATATTATTTAGAATTATAAATAAAATGTGACAAACACTTGATTATATAAACTTAAATATTAATTTATTAAAAATAGTTAATTTGAACATTGTACATTATTATTTACAATACAACTCTTATTTCAGCTAATTTAGAAATACAATGAAATATATTTGTTAACTAATGTAACATATTGCATTATGCTAGATTCTGTTGATCTAATAAAAACCGCTATATTTGATTGTATTGATTGATTTGGCGATAAAATATATGATTAATAAATCTGAAGACTAGCCTTGAAACTTAAACAGTAATGCCTGGACAGTACATTGAAAATACATTGTACATACATAACTGTAAATGATAACAAACTTTGATCATTATTGAATTCACTAAATACAAACATTGTGTTAATGGACATTTGGTAAGTTTAAGTTTCAAGGCTAGTCTTCAAATTTATTAATCATATAATTTATCGCGATATCAATCATTATATACGTTAATACACCGAAACAAAGTATTTAATCAATTCAACCATAATTTATGATAAGTGTTAATATTATATGTAACAAAATTTGATGTACTGGTGTAACTTATTTTTAAAAATATAATGTTATTATAATTTATTGTAATTGTAATTTATTATAATTTATTTAGTATAAAGTATTAAAAATCATTTCTTGGTTATATATATTTTATAGTTATATTAATTCTACAAAAATTCAAATAATTTTAAATAAATAAGATTTGGAATTAAGACATAAATTTTTTAAATAAATAAACTATTAATTATCTTAGGATTAATATATTAAAATATTGCATTTACGATCTGTAATAGCACCGGTAATAAAACAATAAATTAAATGTTTGTAACATTGTATAATACTTGTTAAGTTGTTATAAACTGTTATCAAGTATGGCATCAATAATCGAGAATTCCCAATAATAAAATTTAATAAATCTTATATTAATACAATGAAAATTACATTGATAATACAAGTGCAATAAGTCCTCTCTGTCGTGTTATTTTATTTATTACGCAATGCATTAATAGTATAAATAAGCAGGATACAATTTACAAACCTCATAACATAATTAAATTAAACAAACTTAAATGTTCACTCATTATAACTAAGTTCAAATTAATTAACTTATTTAATTTAGTTAATAAGTTATAACTAACTTTATTTACAATGAATTACTCGTGTATTATATTTATATTTGTGGCATCATCAATGTCATTTGTCTACGCCGATGGTAATTGCCACTACAATGGCACTAGCCAGGACACCTACCTAAATTGTATGACCGATGGTATACCCAGCGATATAGCCAAGGACAACACCACTATGGAGTTTACGTGCTGCTCTAATTATGTCACTTATGATTGTACAGATGCAATGAACAAGGTAATTACTTTGACTAATATAAATTTTAAAAATAATTAATTTAATACTTATAGGAATATTGTGATGATGCTGGTTATACAGAAATGAAAATGGTTATGGATGAACTTAAAAAGGTATGGGAGCCCATGTGTAAAGACTACCAGGGCTGTAATAGTGGTTCTACACATGTAGTCCAAACATTTTCGTTGATACTGGTGCTATTTTGTTTGGTTACAGCCTTATCCTAATTTAAAATACTATTCTCCATATTTAATGATATATTTTCAATGGCTAATAAACTAGGCTCATAAGCATTTTATTGATCATTTATTAAATAAAATTAAATATTATATTAACCACATATTATAATTGCATATTATATTTTATAATAAAATTATATTAATCTAAATAAATTTTAAAAAT